TGCTGCTAGCCGCCGCCGCTGCTGCCAGCCTGCCACTAGCCACCGCTGCTGCCAGCCGGCCACTAGCCGCTGCTGCTAGCCGCTTCCGTTGCTGCTAGCCGCTTCCGTTGCTGCTAGCCGCTTCCGTTGCTGCTAGCTGCTGCTGCTAGCCGCCGCTGCTGCCAGCCGCTACCCCTGCTGCTATCCTGCTGCCAGCCGCAGCTGCTGCCACTAGCCGCCACTGCTAGCTGCCGCCGCTGCCTGCCACTAGCCGCTGCTGCTAGCCGCCGCTCCTGCCAGCCGCCGCCGCCACTGCTGCCAGCCTGCCACTAGCTGACACTAATGCCAGCAGCCGCCTTTGCTAGCCGCCGCCACCACTGCTAACCGCTGCTGCTAGCCACAGCTACTGCCAGCTGCCACCGCTGCTAGCTGCTTCCGCTGCTGCCAGCCACCGCCGCTGCTAGCTGCCGCTGCTACTGCTAGCCGCCGCTGCTGCCAGCCCCTGCCTCTGCTAGTCACCGCCGCAGCTGCCGCCAGCCGCCACTGCCGCCAGCTGCGGCTATCGCCAGTCTGCCGCTAGCTGCCACTGCTGCCTGACTGCCGCTCACTACTACTGCCGCCAGCCTGCCAATAGATACCGCTGCTGCCAGCCTACCGGTTGCTGCTGTTGCCATCAGCCTGCCACTTGCTGCCGTTGCTGCCAGCCTGCCGCTGCCTGCTCACCGCCAACCACTGGCAGCCAGCTGCCAGCCGAGCTGTCAGCCGCCCGAGCCACCAGCGGCCAGCAGCCAGTCACCAACCGCCAGCTGCCAGCAGCCAGCCACCAGCTGCCGCCTGCCGCCAGCTACCAGCTACCGCCGCCAGCCTGCCGCTGCCGCCTGCCTACCACTGCCACAGGCCTGCTACTCCCTGCTCCTGCCTGCCGCTCACTTCTACCGCCAGCTCCTGCTCCTTGCCGACTGCTGGCCGCCTGCCGTCTTGTGCCTTCCAGCCGCCAGCTACCCGCCAGTTGCGAGACCACCAGTCCGGCCACAGCTGCCACTGCCACTGCCACCCTTTGTGTTCCTGCAGCCACTAGTGCCTCTCACTAGTCTCCTCCTTGTTTCTGGGGTTCCTCGTCGCCTCCCCTGCTGGCATGATGACCTCGTCGGAGACTGTCCTTCAGCGGGTCACCGAAGACCGGGTAGTCGGCTTGGCTTTCTGACTTCTTGCTCTCCACTGGCAGCTGGTGCGCCAGTGCGTGGAATGGGAGTCACTGGTGGCCTACATTACTACTAGTTAGCTGCCGCCACCCCCCCATCCTGAGTCCCTGGCTGCCGACACGATGTCGGTGCAGCGTGAGGCGTACACAGCTGCCCGGGCTGCCCACACTATTTGGCGGGCTTGCAACACTGCTGCGCTGCTTGTCATCACCCGCTCACTGCCAGCCAAAGATCAGGCGCACTTCGCGTCGCAGGCGACGGCGAAGGACCTCTGGGATGCTGCCGTTGCCCGCTACTTGTCCCCGTCCTCCGCCGCCCTCGGCCGCCTCCTCCTTTCGTGCCTCTTCCTCAACCTGGCCTCCTTCCCCATGCTTGCCGACCTTGTCGCACACCTTTGCAACCCCAAGGTACGCTACAGGGCTGCCTGCCCCGAGCTGCAGCACCACCAGCAGAGGCAGCAGCCGCGGTGGGGTCCTGGGAGTGTTGGGGCCAATGGAGGTGCTGGAGGTTGGGCCCTGGGCGGTCGTTGGCCTGGGGCCCACATGGATTTTCTGGGGGCATCGGGGTCTTGGCCCCACTTCTATGTATAGTCTAGGAGCCTCTATTGGGTGTAGTTTAGTCTCCTCATCGGCCCCTGCTGAGGTGGCCCTTTCTTCCACTCTGAGCTCTTGTGCGTGACACTGCTTCTTCCGAGACTGTACTGCACTCACACTGCTTCCTGCATTGGTTCCTGTCTCCCTTGCTGCCTCGCCTACCCTAGTCGTCGCTCACAGCACCTTGGCTCTCCCTTGTCTGGCTGTCCCTTCTGGCTCCCTTATCGACTTCCATATCTCCATGCTTTCCAGGAACCTGGTTGGTATCGGTCATATCCTGGACCTTGGCGTCACCACCGCCTTCCCTGGCCACGAGCGATATGCAGCTTGTACGGACACCGCCACGGGTGCTCGTCTTGCCACCTTTGACCTCGACCCTGCGGCTGGTCTCTTCACATTGCACACAGAGTCCCCCCAAGAAGCCGCGTTTATGCAGGTTGTTGCATCCTAGTCGTGATGCTCCCTTACTCACCCAGCACTCCTATTGCACCACCGCTTCGGTCACCCATGCTTTTCCGCAAATGCGTCACATGGCACACCACGGTCTAGTCACTAGTCTCCCCGCGTTGCTCCCCGCCCTCCCCGCCTCCCTCGTGCCCGCGTGCACCTCCTGCGTTGAGGGTCGATAGTGTGCTGCCCCTCATTCCTCCTCATTTTCTCCTACTTCCGCTCCGCTACAGACTCTGCTCATGGACATTGTTAGGATTAAGGACGGAGTCTAGGTGTGCTTAGGAGCTAGAATTACTCAAAATATAAATCCGAAATCCTGGACAGAAAATTCGTCTTCACAAGAAACGACGTCAACAAAAACCTAGCCGTTAGAATGTCACAAAACTTGGATATGTTGTAGCTCTGAATCTCAGCTACCGTTCCCAATTTGAATCATGTTGATTGATGAAGTATTCGCGACGCTATGGCTTTTGACGCACTAGGGGGTAAGCTGTAGGAGGAGAACTTAACTCAATCTCAAAAGTTCAATCAAAGTTCAAGAATCTCACAAGGAATTTTTGAGGAGCAAGAGAAAGGTTGGGATAAAAGAGAGGGATGAGAGGGAAGGTCCCAAGAGAGTCCCCAACCAAGGAAACCCCATAAGCACAAAGATTCCCTCCCTATAGGAACCTCAACTTTGACCTTTGTCCCTTCCCAACCAATCCATCCAAGTTGGCCACCCTTGCCAACCTAGCTTGGTTGTTCCCAACCAATTTGCAGCTGTTACAGTAGAGTGACGAATTTCCCCAACCCCAAAGGTCCCAAGTCCATATAGAGTCACCCCACAACTTCACTTTGTAACCGCCGCAATTGTAACGCAAGCTCATGAACTTTGAATCTTCATAGCTTTCGCGTTCTTGCTCCGATTGAAGGGATTCTCGTTGCGTCGGAAAGATCTTCTCAAGATCTATCATCACAAATACCTGCTCAAACAGAATAACACAAAACACATTCCCAAACTCCAGAACACACACCACACAAATTCTTTCACACATAGCCAAACCATACATGCGAATTGAAACAAGGGATGGGAGGCAGACAGAATGTGATAGCATATGATGACATCACACAACAGACATTTGGGGCCCCGCCCTGGTCCTGAGGTGCTACTTCCTTATTGATGTTGACAAATACACCCACTTTACCATGGTTTTCCCCTTGGATCAGAAGGCCGATATGCCTGACGCCCTACTTCTGTGGCTCTGTGTCGTCCGTACCCAGCACTCCCTCCCTGTGCTTCGTCTTCACTCTGACCACGGTGGTGAGTTAGCCTCCGGTCGTCTAGGTTAGTTTTGTCGTGCAGAGGGCATCACCAGGTATTTACCCTTCCGGAATGGGGTAGCCGAGTGACGCATCGGCTTGATAATAGAGGTGGTCCGCACCTCCATGGTCCATGCCGATGCACCACATTTTCTGTGGACGTTCGTCGTGCGCTACGAGTATCACCAGCTTAACCTGTGGTCTCACTACTCGCAGCCAGAGGTTTTGCCGATCCTCCTCTAGACTGGGTCCCTTGGTGATGCGTCGGCGTTCTTTGTCTGGGGTTGCCTTGCTCATGTCTGCACCTGGCGCAACAAACTCTCAGCCGACACTACCCCATGTGTTTTCTTAGGGTTCCCGCTCGACACTCCTGACTGGCTGTTCTACCTCCCTGGACAACACTGCTTCTTTCACTCTCGTGACGTTACGTTTAACGAGTCCGTCTCCTTCTACACCCTCTTTCTTCATCGTGGCGGTCGTTCTCTTCATCCGCCTCTCTTCCTTGCCCTTCATCCACTTGCTGTTCCCCTCCCACCCCGTACGGCCCCGTCTAGAGTCTCACATGCCACTCCCCTCCCCTTGGTTGGGCCAGTGGGGGAGTCTGCTGACTCTCGAGACCCCATGGCTGGGGGTGCACCTGCCGTCACTGTAGTGCACCTCCCCCCAGCCTTGGTGCCCCAGGCACCTCCGCAGTCTCCCCCGCTGCCGCTGCAGCAGAAGTGGCCGCAGCATAAGGAGCTGCACGAAGCTGTGGGCTCTGGGGGTGCTGGTTCTGGGGTTGCTAGTTTTGGGGGTGCTAGTCCTGGGGATGGTGGCTCATAGAGTACTCGCGGTGGTGGGGCTGGGGGTCCTGGCATGGGTTGGGAGCAGCCGCAGCAGCAGCAGCAGCAGCACCAACAGCAGCAGCAGCCGCAGCTGCAGCCATAGCAGCAGTAGCAGTTTGCCATGCGGCTCCTTGGCCTGTCCTTCGGTTTCCCTGACCGTCCGCTTGTCCCTCCTAACCCGAAAACGACTACTCTTCAGGTGCTCCTCCACGTAGCCGTACAGCATGACTACGAGCTCCGCTCCCAAGACTTCTCGACAACTTTCTTGCAGGGCAGCCTACACGAGCAGATCTTCCTGCAGCGCCTAACAAACTTCATTGGGTCTTTCCTACTTGGGACCCAGTGGAGCCTGCACCGCTCTGTCTACGGTCTATGTCAGTTGCCCCGTGAGTTGCATGACACGCTCCGCACTACACTTGCAGCTCTTCACTTCTTCCCGTCCTCTGCTGACCCCTCGCTCTTTGTTTGTGCTGGTCAGACTCCATTCTACATACTTGTGTACGTAGACGACCTCATCTTTGCTACTCCTGATAGAGTCGCACTAGCCTTGGTGAAGGCCGAGCCGCCCAAGCAACAAGCTTGTATAGATGTAGCAGAGCTGCGGTGCTATCTGGGCTTGGAGATCTCTCGTGACTGTGCCGCGCGCATGATCACACTCTCCCATTCTCACATGGTGCAGAAGATCCTCCAGCGGTTCAGCCTTTAGTTCTCTTTTAGCACATCCCACCCCTTTGGCTGTGGATCACAAGCTCTCTGCTCCTGTTTCGGCTGAGTCGGCCGAACCCCGCGGTCCATACGCAAAGCTGGTTAAATGCCTCATGTACGTGATGACGTGCACTCAACCAGATCTAGCGCACCCTTTCAATATCCTTGCTTGCTTTGTTGCGACTGGCAGACACCGACCAGAGCAGTAGTCGGCTGCCAAGAGGGTGACGCGGTATCCGGCGAGTACATTAGAACTGGGGCTTGTGCTGGGAGGACAGGAGCCAGTGGTCCTCGCTGGACACACAGACGCATCGTGGGCTGATGACCTGGAGATAGTCAAGTCCTCACAGGGCTCTTGCTTTAGTCTTGGTGCAGGTGCAGTCTCGTGGAGGCCCACTAGGTCATCGTCTTTAGCTCAGTCCAGTTGTAAGGCAGATATCTACCCTGGGGCTATGGCCGCTCAGGAGGCCTCAGAGGCCAACACTGCTGATATCTTCACCAAGGACCTAGGGCCTTGTGACCATCAACGGTTCTATACTCAGCTCGGTCTAGTCTTAGCTGCCTCTCCCTTACTTGTATCTTGATCTTTACTATACTGACTCTGTACTTGCTACTCTATACCTGCCGCCTTGTTACACTTGCTGACTGGCCTTTTGGCCCTTGTCTCAGTGGTCATACTAGTAGTGCTGCCGTGATCTCTTTTGTTCGATACTCCAAAGGCCAGACTAGTAGTGCTGCCCTGGATCACTGTTTCTTGTTAAGTTCTGCCCCCTACCCAGGCTAGGGGGTGTGTTGAAGTTCATATATACGTTACGAATGTATATATATGTATAACTACTATAGCCTAGCTAGTTTCAACTATTAAAGGGTATATATACTCATGTACCCCGATCCCTTGGTCACATTTTTCCCCTCTCAACAGGCATGTGGCACATTTTTAGTGTTACACTGCCTTGAGTGATCAACATCCAAGATTTGAGTAAGGCAAAAAGCTAATCCTCGAACGTTTTTGTGGGATCATGTTCTCTCCCATACATTTTTTATATTCATTGTATAACACTCAAATGGAGACTTTTTGCAAATTCACCTACCCCCTACATGTACATAGAATAGTCTCGTGCAAATCGGCTTATGAGATGCATACATATAGATCAGGTCATCAATTACATAGTTGGAAGCAATCGTGCTTCTTACATATACTCCATAACATATGAATATATTATATCAGACCACGCATCTGGTATGCCAAGTATACACCAATGCAAGCAATCTACAACCTCAACCGAATGAATAATAACGGACAGTGCACGGAAAAATAATGACGAGTACAAAGATGAGAACCTAGCATTATATAGCGAGAGCCCTAGATACGCAAGGATCCCAAAGGTCTAGGTTGGTAGAGGCGCGGTCAAAGGGGCCGGAGGCGGCACGAGCCAGCCTCGGGGTTGCGTAAGAATCGGACCGAGCATGGTCTTCCGAGAGTTCTGGTGTACGCGATATAGTACAACCCGGTAAGGCATAAAACTCCTTACACTATCCCCCTGCTTCTAAGAAAGGCAGTCAACATCGGGAATGCCATTTCGGGTCTAATAGGATTTGAGCACCGAATGTTCCTGAAGCGAGTCGGAAGTGACCCGAGTGTTGTCTTCACTTGTACGATTGGTCTAGGGGACTAGGAAATCCACGTGGTGGCTGCTGGTGTCAAGGCGGACACGACCATTTTGATGATGCAGAATGGCTCGCTGAACCTGGGTCGTAGCTTGGAAGGCAGGGGCTGGCGGGGTTGTCGAAATTTGTTGTCGCGGGTACTATAGGGTATATCCCGTGGTTGAGGAAGAACGGAGAGTGATTAGTCATGGCAGATGGAGCGTTGTTGTATGAAAATTCCACCGTGGGTAAGAATTGGTTCGGATGAGCTGCTCCATTGCCAGAACTATTCCCAAGTTTCTTGCCAAAACTTGGACATGAATTTGGGGTCGCGTTCGCTGATGATCGCAGTGGGAAGGCCGTGCATGCAAAAGACGGTGGATATGAAGAGCTTGGCAGTTTCTTCGGTTGTTATTGTCATGCGACATGGGGCGAAATGCACTATCTTTATCAGGCGACCGACAACGGCGAGGACAACATTGTTGCCACTTGCACCGGCTGGAAGTCCAGTGACGAAATCCATCGTCACATGCTGCCACGGCTTCTGGGGTGGCTCGAGCGGTTGCAGCAATCCTGCTGGCCGCTACCAGAGGACTTCATGTCGGGGAAGGGCTACAGGCCTCTGTGCCTGTGGGGTTATGGGCGCGCTATCCCACTGCGTAACAAGCCCTTTTAGGATAGCGGTTAGCGACAGTACTTCTAACATGGTATCAGAGCCAAAGGTATCAGGTTCAAATCACAGCGTGCACCATCTTGAGTGCCGGAGACCTCCGTCTACCGCAGTGAGTCTGGGTGTCGAGTGAACCACTGGGGTTGCCCTAGAGATGCTCGGGGAAGGGCTACATATCGGGAGAACTGCTGGGGTTGCCCTTGAGATCCTTGAGGAAGGGCCATAGGTGCAGAGCCAGTGGGGTTATGAGCGCACTTACCCGCTACTTAACAAGCCCTTTTAATTCAGTGGATAGTGACTGAGTTTCTAAAATGGTATCCGAGCCAAAGGTCTTGGGTTCAATCCCCAGTGTGTGCACCGGTAAAGGTGACAATGCACTGGCTGAGGTGCTGCAGGGTTTTCTGCTATAACGGGAGCTTCCGTAGAAGTGCCTGACGTAGATAGAGCTACTCTAGCTCTGCAGTTCTCTAAGGAGAAGTTTACCTCCAGATTGTGTGTTCAACAGCATAGCTTGACAAAGCTTGCATTCACACAAAATTCACTAGAATCAAGATTAGAAATTATGGTACACAAGGCAAACGCAAATACTACCTCATTGAACACTGCTAGAACGTGCCCACTAGAACATTGATGTAACTACTTCCAACTGCACTTAGCCATGTCAGCAATGGCAGGTGAAAATCACAGCACGTGCTTAGTTAGTAATTTTCACTAGCCTCAAAGTATTTTTAACAGTTTCCGGTGATGAAACTGTCAGTTGTTACGCACATTTCCGCTGTTACGAAATGTGTCACCTATATCAATTGCACAATGTCGCAGGTAGCTTGCCTTCTCGGTCTATATCGGTTCATTTCGAAACTTCCGAAGAGGCGGAAATTCGCGCACTTTCGGAATGGTCCCTTAGCGCCGGAAAGTCATTTCTATCGAGGAGTCGTTCACAGAAGAGAGTTCCGAACTCTTTCTGCAACGCTCTCACAGAAAGTGTTCCGTGAAGTCTTTCTGTAGCTCTCCCACATAAGAGAGTTCCGAACTCTTTCAAGAACGCTCTCACAGAAGAGAGTGTTCCAAACTATTTCTGCAGGAGCGCTCCCACATAAGAGTTTCGAAGTCTTTATGTAGTGCTCCCACAGAAGTGTGTTCGCAAGAGCTGCGCCATCAGCAACAAAGTCACTTCGACAAGACTGCTCTTAGTTGACGAGCATTTCCGCAAAGCGTCGCCGTATCGACAAATCTGCTCTTCGTCGATAAGCCTTTCTGCAGGGCTTGCATCCACAGACTTCGTTGATTTGCCGCTTCTGCAGACTTCTGCAGCCTTCGCAGGATCTGGGCTATTCTAACCACTCCCCTATACTGGTCATGCGAAGTCACCAACCAGCTCAGAGTTCGATCTAGAGGAGATACTAAAACAAAAGAAAGCACACGAAATAAACACACACAAAAGTTTCGAGAATCTGCACTTCTTCGCATGCTAGGATCACCGCACCAGCCATGAAAGAGGTCATGGCACCTATTCTTTCTCAGAAGAGACTTCGTCTGCGCTCCCCTTCGCAGACAATCGCACTTGATTCACTTTGCCGAAGCATCGATCGAATGCAGGAAAATGCAACGCCTTGGTCAAGTAGTCTGCCGTCTGCTCATTTGTCGGGATGTACTGCAATTTCAGCAACCGCATGTATCGTCGCTCCATATGCTTAAGGCTCCCCTTCTGCCCCATCCCTTCACACACTGCAATGGCTGACTGATTGTCGACGTAGAGCGTCGTGGGCTCGTCCTCCTCGAGGAGCCCAACTCTGCCAGCAAGAAGCGTAGCTTCCGAGCTTCCTTGCCGACCTCCACAGCAGAGATGTACTTGGATTCCGTAGACGAGAGGGTGATGCACTTGATCTTCTTGCTTTCCCATGAAATTGCTGCTCCGCCGAGGGTGAAAATGCAGCCACTTGTGCTGCTGCGACTCTGCCTGTCGCCAGGATCGTCGGCATTTGTGATACGGATGAGGCGCAAATCTGTGGCTCCTTTGCCGAGCTCGAGAGCCACGTCGCGAGTCCCAACGAGATACGCAATGCACCGATTGAGCTCCTTCCAATGCTGATCACTTCAAATAGTCTGCCCAGATGCAAGCTGGCTATAGGCGAAAGCGATGTTCTGACGTGTCATGCAGGCGGTGAACTGCAAAGATCCCACTCTCTGGCGATACTATTCTTCCGTGCGCGCCTGCAGCAATACATCGTCGAACTTCAGCTCCTTGAACGCATCGACAGAAATCGGTGTTTTCGGGCTTTGTCAAGGAGGCCCCTCTGGCAGAAAATGCCTGTGCAGCATATCGATGTAACCTCTCTGGTGCAGCCAGATCTTCCGAGCAGCTTTGTCTCGGATCAGCTCCATGCCCAAGTACTTCTGCACATGACTGATCTCTCGAAGCTTGAAAGCCTTCTCGAGCAGAGTCTTCAACTCTGCCAAATGCGCCTTGCTCCAACTTGCAGCCAGCAAATCGTCGACGTAGACAAGCAAGTAGCACTTGTCATCATGCTCATTTTCGTGGAAGTAGAAAGCTTCGTCAACCAAACTCTTCGACCAGCCTCCGCTCTGCAGAACTCCGTCGAGTTCTTCGTACCACAGCTTGGACTCTGCTTGAGTCCGTAGAGAGTCTTCTTGAGAAGACAAACTCTGCCGCTGCCGTCATCTTAGTACTTCGGCTGCTTCATGTAGAGAGGACGATCGATGGGTGCATTGAGAAACGCGTTCGTCATGTCAAGTTGCATCAGCTCCCAATCAAATCCCGCAGCAATGAGTAGCTGCAGAAGAGTAGTCACATAGGTGCCGACTGGAGCATACGTTAGGTTGTAGTCAAGATAAGGCAGTTGTGTGAATCCCTGAATGACCATATCGTGCAAATCCTTTCTTTCTCTCTACCGTATCGTCGGGAAGATACTGTACTTGGTAGCGAGAACCCAGCAATTTCCCATCCCATTGACGCCTGGAGGTGGGAAAACCAAATCCCACGTTTCTTGGTCCCACAGAGTCTGCATCTCTTTGTCCATCGCCGCCTTCACCGCAGGGTCCTTCCAACTCTTTAGAGCGACTGGGACAGGCATCTTTGCTATGTCCCAGCGATGTCCTGGATCTGCGGCACGGTATTCTGCCGAGTCAAGCTCCTTGAGTGCTACGTCTTCGTCTCTGCCGTCGAGGACGTTCATCGAGAACGCCGTCAACGCCACA